AAATTTCAATCAAACCACGAAAACTCGATAGCTATTCAGTGACTTAAGCTCATCCAAACCGAAAACCTTACGACCTCCTAAAAGCTATATCTCGTCTAAAGCTTTCTTTTCGGCTAAAACTAGAGTTTCGTGAGAGAAATTCCTAAAAAAATTGGAATTTTTTTCTTTTTGCCTTCTGTTTCTTCGTGAAGGTCTTTCTAGTTTGTAGCCATAGCCGCCGTCAAACTTTACTTTAGCCTGTAAATGCAACAAGAATAAACAAATCAAAATTAATGAACAAAAGTTTCACATTTCCCAGGGTATGGTTTTCCGCAAAGTGATTGGAATTCGGAATGTCAATTTAATGAGAATAAAAACAAGAAGAACCTGAAAACGCCGAGGGAAAAGGCGCGGATCAACAACAAATTCAGCCGACATGAGAAGCAAGGTCCTGGATATAACCCAGCCACAATGGTGGAAAGCAAGTGTTCTCACAACAATACCTTCCCTGGTCCTCAGGTACATTCAGCAAGTGTGATTCGTGAATACCTCTTAATTAAGTGCGTATGGTTTACAATGTTCTCCTACCAAGCGACTATTGTTCAAATACAAATAGCATATCTTAATATCGCTTAAGAACCAGATAAATGAATACATTATTTGCTTTCCGGACGTTTGTTCGGTTTTCATATTTTCAAACAAACTACAAAAGATCGCTACAAAAAACACTGCTATAATTTCTAAAAAGCACTGAAATATATAAGGAAACAGAAACTGAAGGTATAGCTTGTGGCTTATTTTATAATTATGCGAGACTCGTGAAACGATAACAATGGTGCATTTCAAGTTAGTAAATACACTGGTGTTTTTTTCTAGCAAGGAAGTGGAAGGTTTAGTTCATTCTCACAGTTATCTCTGAGAAAGATCAACTAACTAACCATCGCAGTGATTCGAGAACAGTTAACAGTTTGAGGGTTGACCCTTCCACGAAGATGGTGCTTTTCGTAGGAAACATAGGGTTTTCGAATTTCGCGACGGATCTTAATTGATCTTCATCATTTTCAAATTGAAAAGTACGTGTACTGTGTTTTTTTACTCTTACCTTGTAAGGGTTGAAGACTGACATAGTGTACCTCGTGAATATGTCCCAGTACTAGAGGCTTGCTTTTGCCAACAGGACCATGTGGCCTGATGTCTACATCATTGTGTATACTGCTGACCACATGAATGCACGTTTTAAAGCAATTTGCTGCTGCACAGAGAATGAGGTGATCACCCCAAGCGCCATCTTGCTCCATGTATGTTAGGTAATCAGCCCATGTTTCATGTTCATGGACAAAGTGACGAAGATCTGTTCCATCCGGCTGTAAGAAGAGACAACAATTAATACTTGAATTCCAAATAGCTTTTGAACAGGGCCGAGCACAATTTAGGGAAAACTCCCCAAAAATCAAATTCTTTACAATAGAAAAGTATGTGATAACTTTTTCAGCAAACGCAGTGGGTAGACAGTAAAAGCTAAGACAAACATCACGCAAGTGTCACACGACAGGAATCTAAATGGGCAGCGGCAGTTGCGTCTCAACATGAACGTGACCCATTCCGTGAAAGACAGACTCGCCATGAACCTGTTGTAATTAAACGTTTAGCCGTTCAAAGGCACCATCACACTCATAAGGAATGAGAATTTAAACAAATGCAACTATGCGAGTGAAATGTCAACTACGTTCTTAAAGTGAAAAAACCAAAACATTCTGTGTAAGAATAATATCGTATAGACTGGTGAGAAGGTCTTCGAAAACATGTTCACCTTATTCAGAGCCGCGCTAAACTGACGGTAGCTAATTGATTCAGAAAGGAATACTTTTCTAAGCGTGCAACTTAAATAACTAAATACAGCACTCTACCAGAGGGTCCACTTGAATTAGATGAAAATGTGGGCAGAGACTACGTTGCCTACCGCTTGAGGCACTGAAATCCATGAGAGGAGCTTCCGACACAATCTTATATAGATTGACTGTATTATCGAGCTCTAGGAGAAGAAACCTTCCTGTCAAAGTGCCTCTCTCCACGTGTGGAAAAATTGTGAAAAAATTTTAAGGCCAACGTGAAAAAAATACTTGAAGATATCTGGTGTGAAAGTGACTGGTGTCCCAGCAAGGACGAGTGGCACTTCGTGTAACGGAGAGAAAAATAGACTCAGTAATTAAACTACTGATGAACTTCTAGTTCATTTACTTCTGAGCATTACAGCAACTCACCAGCTTTGGGTTTTCCATGAGGTACTGAACTAAAGACTGTCTCAACTGGCCATGTTGGATTTTGATTCTTTTGACGGTTTCTAGTTGTTCTGACAGAGCATGGAACATGCAGTTTCCTGACCCTTGATTGTCAGAAATTCTGAAGCCCTTATCTGATGCAATCGTCGCTAACTTCTCTGTCAAGGTAGTGTTGTCGTTGACCGTGCTTGCGCAGAGTTGCATCCGCTGAAGATTCTGGAGGGTTCGCTCAAGCACCCCTGGAAGTAAAATAATTTTAGGCGCATTTCTTAGAATCATACAATGTAGATGGAAGAGAAAGTCTCAGTTACGACAGAGAAAAAAAATCAATCACATTAAAGACCGAATTTTCAGTTCACCGTGAATATTTTTTCACCCACTGGGAACTCTTCCGGTATCACCACTGAAAGCTGCGTGAAACTTGTATATGACCTGGCTCAGCCCAGTGCTCACTGCTAGTGAAGCTATATCCGCCCAATTCAGGGCTGAGAGGGACACTTATCCAACGGGGTACTATGATTTCGTTTCATGGAGGGCGCTACTCTCAAATGAACGAAATCTTTCCTTATAAGCAGGATCATGTATGGGAAAAGATTTCATGAGAACACAAATTGATCAAAATCTTCACTGAGAGGGCCAGGCTCCTCTTTCAGCTACAAGGGAAGACTTAAATTAAAAAGTACGGCGAGGAGTTTGGAAGGCAGGCCAATAACTTCATTTATTTACTAAACGCTGTCTTCTGATTCGAGAACGATAAACAGTATTGGAATAGGAAGTCGCAGGTAAAAGTCTAGACTTGCCAGTTAACATTTTACATCCCTAGGTTTTTTTTTTTCATAAAAAAATAATTATGCTGTAACGAAAGCAATTATTGCTTGTGAATAACTGGAGCAGATAACTTTTAACCTGAGCTTATAAGACAATATGACATTTGTCCCGCTCAAGCATTAACTTTTGGTAATACACTTATATCAAGAAAGTTACTTAAACTTGGGATGGATAAAAGTGGTTTTAGACGTTTCTTTTTTCTTTTGCTTGTTCCTTTCTCACTCTTATCCGTTTGTACAAATCGTTTCCTTTTTGATGAACATGGGCGCTATACACAAACATTTAAAGATCTCCATCATGCTGTATTTAGAAACCTATTCCGAGGTAGAAAATTTATTCACATCAATGGCAGGATAAATTTGGATAACACAACGAAAGAAAAGTCTACGGAAAGAAATATAAAAATTATTAACATACCTACGCCATGAACTTTGTTCCACATCAAATCAACGAGAAGGTCACATTGTTTCTCCCAGCTGAACTGCATTTCATATGATGTCCTGAGTCGTTCAGTCCCTTGAAGACGCGGTAATCTCTTCATCTTTCGGACACCATCAATTGCCTCAGCCCACACTTTGGGGTCCTCAGAGTCAACCACAAAGGATGTGCCGAATGGTACTGTGC